GGGAGCGTGTATTCGACTGCGTGGCGTCCATGTTTCCTGTTCATATTCTGCAGCCTCGCTTCTCCAGTCCGCGTAGCATGGAGGTGTATCAATTCAGTGCATGCATTGAGCCGTCACCTGCTGCACGGCTTCGGTGTTGCTGCTTTTTGATTATTGCACAAACAGCTTTGGGACGAACCCTGTTTCTAGGTAAATTTTGCAGACGGGCCTCATTGTCTTCAAGATAAAACGATCCGAAACGCAGGCGCTGGGCCAGGGCCACGCACACGGTGAAAGCTGGGCCCGCACCGCTGAGCCGCTCGCCCTCTGTACTCGTGCCGAGTTTTTACTCGTGATAAAATCTCATGAATTTGTTTTCCCTAATCACTCCTTAAACATTTTTTTGCCAGTCCGAGAGGTGAGCAATCCTATCTCAGAACCATTCAATTGGCATTTCTTTGATTATAAATTTGGTTGCTACCATTTCACTTGGTGAGCGACCGCGTGTATTTCATGTGTGCCTGAATTGCCCGCTAACGCCCTGTGCACGCATATTACTAAAAATCGCTTCCCCTCAGGCTTTCTATACCGTGTCATGTGTATAGGGTATAGAATGAATGCTTTTTCGTAAATGGTTAGGCAGCTACTAGTACTAGATACTGTGTTAGGCAGGAGGATAAAGGGATGAGACCCACTCAAAACCACCAATGACCTCACAGTCCAGGGACACCTGGATCATGAAAACAAACTATAGAACAACAGCGTGCCACTCATTATTCAGACGGTTGAAAAACAGACCCTTATAGTTTGATGTCGGAAAACAGAAAGATAGCCACCGACGGAGCGACAGAAATCCACCTGGGATGTAGATTTTCTTCCCAGACGCTCATTAAAAACATTGAGCTCTGCTTCGTGAGTGTAAAATGTGCTAAATGACCGGGGCATTGGCAGAAGGTAGGAAATTCTTTATTTTGGTTTCCAAGTGACAGGCCAGGCTGTGGAGGAAATGTCCGAGGCCAAACCCATAACTGATGCAGCTTGGTCGATTTTCACACATTCACCAAAGTGGCTACGCGGATGGGCAATCATACATACCTTGCAGTCAGAGTGATACCTCCCACTTCATATTGGATTGTGCCGCTCCTCTGCTTCCAAAAAACCTCCACGGCTTCCCATTTCCTAGAGGGTAAAATTCAACTTCCTAAGCTAAGACTCAGACAGTGTATGCATGGGTTTCCCTATAGCCCAGCTCTGGGTCCTTCCCCTCTCTCAGGGCACCTGTGGCCTCAGGGCCTTTGCACAGGCGACTTCCTTGCCTGGAATGCTTTTAATTGTCTTCTTCTTCTTTTTTATTGAATTTATTGGGATGACATTGGTTAATAAAATGATGTAGGCCTCAGGGGTACAATTCAATAACACATCATCTGTATATTGTGTGTTCACCACCCCAAGTCAAGTCTCCTCCCATCACCATTTATCTCCCCTCTACCCTCTCCCACCTCCCGCTTTCCCTCTGGTCATCACCATACTATTGTCTGTGTCAATGATTTTTTTTTCTTAATCCCTTAATAAACAGTCGTTCACCTTCTTAAGTCTCTCTTTCTCCCCACAACCCTTTCTTATCTCCTATTGTCCTTCAGATCTCAGCAGCCTGTCGGTCATTTCTTCAGGGAACCCCTCTCCAATATCCCAGGCCCCTCGCTATAACAGTCCTGCATTGTCCCTTGATGTTGTCATTCACAGGAAATATGACATTTCTGTGTGGTAACTTAAGGAGTGTTCATCTCCCTAGCTCAGATAAGTCTGTAAACCTCCTACTCACACGGCATTTCACCCCAAACCATGTATGTCAATCATGCTCCTCAGTGCATGGGTCAGGCGAGGCGGCAGTGGGCTTTCCAGAACGGGAGCACTGGAGAGCATACCTTCAAATTTTAAATATTTAACTAACAGTACAGGGCATTGTGCAACCCATACAACACTATCCCATGCCTTTTGCCATTGAATTCTCACAATAAGCCCGTTAGTGAAACCACTTGCTCAAAATCCTGCTGTGACTATCGGTGTTTTGAGGGAGTGGCTTAGGGTTTGTGATGACAAGGGCGATGTTTTTATTATACACGGAGGCATCTCTGAGGCCTAGCACAGTGCCCGAAACAACAGCACTCAATACATAATTATTGAATAAATTTCTGGTAGGGATCTGTAGTTCCTCTGTGTTATTTGTACTTTTTACAGCATTACATAATTTATAGACATATATGCAGCGCCCACATAGGTGCCTGTGGGGGTGTGCTTATATAGGACACACAGTATATGTAGTTGAATAAATTATAGCAAGTTCATCCAGACATACATTGACCTTTTTTGAGTAGGAATGCTAGAAATATCTGGAGTCAACTGATTTTGAGTTTTTACTATCTTGGCCTGTTTGGATAGGAGTAAAGCTGACCTTAGGAAATCACTTGAAAACATAGGTCACATGATCAATCCACACTGATGACATTTTGGGGTAAAATCACCTTCCAAAGAATGTCTGGGGAAAAAATTGCTTAATGCTAGACTATGGGGGGGAGGGGGGGCGATAAAAAACATATGGAAATCTGAATTTTTATTGTTTCTAAATTTGTGGTTCTGAATAATTTTTCAGAAATGAAGGGTGAATCCCAAGCCTTCCTTCTGTCTGTGGCGAGAATCCTAGTGAATAATAATCACTTGTGTAATGTAGACTATTCGGCAGAGATGCACGTAGGTAATTTGTATTAGATGCATCTATTAGATGAGCTGTCTCTCCAGGGCCTACGAAACAATGAATGCGGAACACCTGATATGTGACTGCGCTTCCAGATGGAGGGACAGCTTGAAAAATGCCAGCGTAATTTACAACTTTTAGGAAGTGTGGGGGGAATGCATTTGCAGTGAGCTTTCAACAGCTTGGACCGTTTACAGGTGCAACTGTGTTTAATGTGGAATTTCAGTGGATGTCACATATTATTAGATTCAGTCACTGATCACAGAGGATAGGTGTGGCATGTGAGCAATGCGAGTAGATGCCTTCATTAAGTATCTCAGAACAGGAGACATCTGTTTGGTGAGGTGGGGGGTGGTGGTAGGATAGCATTTGACTTTTACATTGGATTATTGAGTGTCACTGAAGAAGCTCTTACTTTTGTAAAGGCTGCATATGTTGGGCTTATCCTCTATGAGGTTAGAAGAAGAAGAATTGATGGATAGGCAATGTCTGACTCTTGGAGACCTTGGACACCTGTACCCATAGAACGACTGAAGTATGGATTCCTAACAGAAGGTTTGTATTAGCAAAAGGGCACGAGTCCATATCTCTGGAGGTTAGGAAATTGACATTGAAGCTTTCTGGTTAAATTGGAGAAGGAATCATACATATGTTACAATTATATATTATGTTAAAGCTATGCATTATATATGTGCATATACATATAGTGTATATTCTTTTATTCTTCATAGACAGATAGACAGATAGATAGATAAATCTCCAAGAGGATATAGATGACTTTGGAGGCAAGGTATGGTTAACTAGGAAGTCATGGGTAGTGTTTGTGATTTACTTGGTTTACCTGGTAAAGAGCAACTGAAGTTTCTAAAATGAACTGCGTGGTGCCTAGAGGGCTTGAGGATCTACTGTGTTCATTCAACCACCAAGTATTCTTGGTCTCGCACGTTTCAGTCCTGGAGGAGGAACTTAATACCCAGCAGACAGCCAAGCCAGACATGGGCCGTCACTTCCTGGAGCCCGCATTCTAAATGGGAGCCAGATGTAAACAAGCCTCCCTCAGATAAACATGACAATACAATCCGGCAGGGCTGTGAATTGCAAATGGACAGAGACAGGTGAGTCTCATTCTGTGGGTGGTGGGATGGGTCAGGGAAGGCTTCTGAGAGCTCCAGGATGTGGAGAGTCCTCCAGGGGGAGGACAGGTGCCCAGCGACACAAGTGCCTGGAGGATGGGAAGACAGATTACCTTGCGTTTGGAACACAACCAGTCAGGGCAGCAGTGGCCAGGCCCTTGGTGAGGCGGGGAGGGAGGGGGGCCAGGTTATTTGCAGCTCACCTGGCATTGGTCTAAGTGGGCGGGAAAAGAGTTCTGGAGAACAGGTGTCCTCATATACAGGTGAATCTTTTCTGGATTGAGACCATCTCCAAATGAAACCGCTTCCCTACCCCAAGCAAGCTCTGGAACCAAACTTAAGGTGCAACTCTTCTAAAGAGCTTAACGTTATAGAATTCTTGTTGAAAAGAGTCATCGGAATGGATTGTTCTGCAAAAATACAGCTAGACTTTGTAGCACCTGCAGCCCTTACCACTACCTGCCCTCTGGCCACGGAATTGCTGCTCCCCGGGCTCCGGGGCCCGCCTTTACCCAGGGAGTGTCCCCAGGGGTCCCCATCTCCCCGAAGACCCCCGGCCCGGCCTTCTCCAGGGTCCAGGGCCCTGCCCGCCTCTCTGCGTGATGGAGGGAGGAACCTTTACTACCTCGTCCCAGACGAGCTCCTAACATGCAACTTGTGCACCTCGCGGGGCCTGGGGCGGGGGGGCCTGCGGGAGGGAAGAAAAGGAGCCAGGCTGCCACTCAGAGCGCCCGCTGCTTTTACCTGGAAATGCTGTGGGTCGGTCACCTCTGGTCCCCGCCCACCCAGCTCAGCCCTGAACTGCAAAGGGCAGTCCCCGAACCAGCGCTCTCTCCCGCCCTTCCTTTCGCCGCGGAAGGGAAACCAGCGGCCGGGCTGGGGGCGGGGAGGCGGGAGGCGGACGATGGGTCCCGGCCGCACAGGGTGACCCCAGCTCCCCGCACTGAGCCGCGCCCGCAAGTCTCCGGGCGGAGCGCGAAGCCCCGCCCAGGGGCGTGTCCTATGTTAGCCCCGCCCTAGGCGTGCCATCCCGCGGCCAATCTGGGGCGTGTCCTCTCGTGTTATTCCCCGCCCCTGGGCGTGTCCGCCTGCCCGCCCCGCCCCGCCCGCGGGCGTCACGGCCGGCCCCGCCCCCGCGCCGCTGGCCCCGGGCTTCCTCTCTCCGGGTCGCCGCACTCCGCTGCACTCCGAGCCCGAGGACGCGAGCGAAGGGTCTGTCTCCAGGGTCCCCGCCTGCACACGCTGCCATGGCCCCCGTGCTCAGCAAGGACGCGCCGGACATCGAGGTACGGACTGCGCGCTGGCTCCCGGGGGCGGGGGAGGGTCCCGGGGGTCCCCGCGGGTGGGGGCCGGGCAGGCCCTCGGCCACCCCTGCGCCCCGGGAGGAGCGGGAGCCGCGGGAACCTGGCCTCCGCGGGTGGTCTGCGTGGCGGCCGAGGAGTCCTGGGCGTAGAGCTGGCGCCCTTGGAGCGGGACGGGGTGGGGGAAGGTCAGGAAGCCGGTCCTGACCTGAGTGGCGCGGCTGAAGGGGCGCAAGAGTTGCAGGCAGACAGGGGGCTCTGCAGGCCCGCGGCGCCCCGTTCCCGCAGCTCCCCGCTCCTCCTGCTCGCCCCCCACCTGCACTCGGGACACCTGCCTGCTGCCCCCTTCTGCGGGGTCTGCAGCTGAGGAATCGCCCAGGCGCGGTGCCTGCAGGACAGCTGTGTGCGCGGCTGTGGCCGTCCCGCTGGCCAGAGCGCAGCTCGGGGACAGTTTAGCATCACCGAGAGCCTGAGAAATGCCAGGGAACCGGCTTTCTCCCCTGTGAGCAGTTTTTGCTTTCCTCTGTTTTCTGTAAAAATGTCATCATTCTTTCTGAATATAAAGTCCCACCTGAAGTGGCCATTTCCCGTGAGTTCTCCCCGGGACCCCGACGTATGCTGTGAGAAAGACTTACTTGTAAATAGCACTTTAGGTGCACACACTCGCCCACGGCAGCATTTCTGAGCCGCGAGGCACTGCTGTTTAGTTTATGGTGGGTTTTGTTTGAGGCTTTTCTTTATGTGAGTCTGATAAGACCTCTGTTTGCTCACGTGTGTGTGTGTGTGTGTGTTGTGTGTGTTCTTTAGAAATGACAACAATGTCCTTTCGTCCGCTTTCAGTGGCTTAAGTAAAAGTTTAAAACCACCTGTTTGCAGAGTAGCTGCTTTTGCCACGCTTTGTCTCTGCTGTTGATGGAAAGAACTTGTTATTCTGTTTGGAGAGTGGCCGTAGTGTTTTCTCCAGGCTCCATACATTGGTTTGAAAATTCCGTTTTGGTAACAAGCGCCCAAGTACATCTTGCGGGCTTCTTCAGAGTTGATTTACTAGTAATTTCTCTCGCAGATAATTTACTTGTTCGTATGGATCAATAGGATATATGTAACCCAATGCCTGTGTATGTGTGCCAAGGGTAAAAGAGGCGGTGTTTACATTCTAGTTCTTTTTGTCCTTGTTACTTTGACCTGACCCCCGTTTCCCCCCACCTCCCTGCGCAACAATAGCAAAGTCCCTCAGTATCCAGTGCTGATTTCAGAAATAGGAGTGCCAGAGGGCAGCTGCCTTTGGCCTTTGAATTTCAGAATGGTTGTTATCTGCCTAACTGATTTCTTTCTGTCTTTTTTAGCTCATATATTTGTCTTTGAAATCAGTTCTTAGCCACATCACACTAAGGAAAAGATGCCAGTGACACTGATGTGACTGGCTTAATGTCGTATATTGTTTCAGCTGAGACCCTGTTAGAAGTCAGAGCCCTCACACTGGCCTCCACCTGACTTTAAGTCTATGCAGCCGGCCTGCCCGACATTCCTTATAACCTAGAATAGTGGTTTTTCAGCATTTATGTCGTTCAGATATGCAACACACTTGAGTCAGTAACCTCTCTGCTCATACACCTGCCTTACTTTTCCTTCAAAGTAAAGCTGTGATGTGGGAGCTAGAGGACCATGAAAGACTGAAATCCATCCTTCAAATACAGTGCAGTGAGGAAAAATACCTTAAGCCTAGAGCAGTGGTCAGCAAACTGCGGCCCCTTGAGTGTGGCTTTTCCACAAAATACCACGTGCAGTGCGATTGAAACTTCTTGACCACAGTCAAGGGGCCAAAGAGCCGCAGTTTGCCGACCACCGACCTAGAGGAACATGGTCCAGCTTAGATGTCTCAGTTGTCCTCTTGACTTACCACACGAGTTCACTTTTGTTTGAAGAATTCGAATGAATTAGGAAGACTCGGTGTTCAATCCAATTCCAGGGCACACATTGGGTTTGCTTTCCCTGCATGGGTTTATTAAACCCATGGTCTAGAGTTCCATCTGACTGTGACCACCGCCTTAGTCTCCAATATATGGAGAAGCGAGTCATCTTGAAAAAAATTTTTTTTCATTTTTTTTTTCAAACGGAAAACAAGTTCCCTTGATAAATGTGAACAGAACAGAAGGTGTTGGTGACAACCTGCTATAACAGTGATTTAAATCCCCCCAAGCTGCCTACGGACCCTCAGGTCTCATCAACGCAGTCAAGACACATCCTTGTTTCTGGGGGAAAGGTCACTGCGGTGAAAAACGTTGCTTCTGGTGATCCCTCCGTGATTTCTAGCCTCCATCCAACATCCCATCAGGGTGGAAAGGTTGGGAGCATGAAAAGCAACCAGAAGGACGCCAAACCCAAGACTGGAATGTCCCTGAGCAGGAAGATGGGCCCAGCGAGGGTCCATCAGAAGGTCACAGAGACCAGGCAGCGGGACCGGGCTCGCACACTCGGCGGTGGTGTCATTGCCGTCCTGGGCACGGAGGCATGAGCAGGCAGGTTTATTCGCAATCACGTTAGCTGACTGCCTGGGGTTGAGGTATTCCACCCCTCCTTATTCCTGTGACTTTAGGCAACTTTCTCAATTGCATAATATGCTGAGTAAGAAAAAAAGGAGTTAATTAGCCAACAACAGTCCACACCTTGTCAGGAAAAAGGACAGACCTGTTAGAAGGTAAAAGTACAGAAACCTATCAGGAAAGTCAATGCCAATCAAATAATTAATATTCCGAAGCAGTAGCTGTTCTTTTCTTCTGAAAGTTCGCTGGCTCTGTGGACTCGCTGTTTGAATGCGGCTGAGTGGTGTCCAGGATGACTGAGCACAGAGTCTCCTGGGAGGTTCAGAGGCCTCCAAGCTTCCCACCCGCCTGCCTGCATCACTTCTCCTGACGTCAGCAGGGCCTTCATGGTACTTGATGCCGTTTGGATTGGTGGTGAGTGTGATATCAGCACCTTGAAAAGCAAGTCAGAACGATTTTGGAAGCGTTTGCCTTTGTTCGTTGTCTTGTTTCCCTCCCACTGACATGGATAATCGAGGATAGGCTACAGGAGTGTAGTGAGCCCTGGCCCGGTAGCTCCGTTGATTGGAGCATCCGTCCCCTTAAGTCAGTGGTTCTCAACCTTGGCTGCACATTAGAATCACCTGGGAATCCTTTTAAAATCCTGATTTCTGGGCCTCATCCTCTGGAAATTCTGTTTCTTTGTTACTAATGTTGTGGCCTCACCCCATAACAAAGAAACAATTTCCGGAGGCTGAGGCCCAGAAATCAGGATTTTAAAAAGATTCCCAAGTGATTCTAATGTGCAGCCAAGGTTGAGAACCACTGCCTTAAGTCAAGGTTTTCAGGTTTGATCTCCAGTCAGGGCACATAACAACAAATAGATGTTTCTTTCTTTCTCTCTAAAATCAATAAGAATATAAAAAAATAAATGAAAGTATATGCTTTTACATTTTGGTAAACATTTACAACCCAACTGAATTGCTACCTCCTCAACTGCTCCCACAATCACAGGTCACGGGCCAGCCCTTGAATTTTTATTAATGAGTAGTGAGGGGTTGGAAACTCATTTCAGATTGACCCTGAATGAAGAGGGAGGGATTTCAGCCCATTGTCCACAAAATCACAGTACATTTCCAGTCAAACAAAAGCAGTTCCGAATGGCCTATCTTACGGATTCTAATCATTGGGGAAGATCATCGAGAATTTTCTGTGTTTATTAAGAAAATGAGATAAAATGATAGATTTGGAAAATGGGACTGTCATGGAAACAACTTGGGGAACGTCAGTTTTAAGGAGCATTTGACAAAAGGAAAGACCATGAGTTACAAATGGGTAGAGATGGCGGAAGATTGTTTCAGAATACCCATCGTCAGAACTGCCTTTGCCCCAGGGAGGCTAGCGGGTCCTGGATCCAAAGGGGCCAATAGGATTGAACTTTGCAAGAGCCGTGGTTCTTGGTTTACCTGCCCTTGTAAAGTGTTTATTCCTGTACAAGTAACAGCCTTGTCTTCTTTTATTGCCTAGGCACCAGGGAGCTATGGAAATGCTATCTTGACTTGCGAAGGCTTTTACTTCTTTATTTTTAATTTTAAAACTTCACACCTGTTCTGTGAGTTTCGGTTGCCCTCCCTGCTTTAAGCTGCCCCAGGGATCACGCTGAAGGCACATTTCCTTTCTAAGGGATTCAGCTGGGCAGGAGAAATCTATCTGATGGTGTGATCTGGAGAGTCACGTCATTCTGGGGATATCGTTGTTGCTGTAAGGGACTTCACGTTTCTTTAGTTAAGCATGATCAGATATATATTTCAATCCAGTTAAAACATTCTACCTGCTATATATGAGTTCAGGTGACTGGGTTTAGTAGTTTAATTAAAAACCATGAGATTAATGACTAGAGATGAATCTATCACTAGGGAGGTTTTTAGCTGGAATCAGCTTCATCTTCATCAGAGCAGGTAGTGTTGCCCGATTGCTTAATTGTAAAAATGTGCTGGGATTCAGTAGCCTCCTTTCTTACCTTTTGGAAGAGAAGGCCAGTTTTGGAAAGCTGAACATTGACAGTAAGGAATTCCTAAAAATTCCAAGAAGATCTAGATTCAAAATGCTGAGGTAATGGCAAGACCTTTAGGCAATCCTGTCTTTCCTTAACTGTTTGAATACAGCATTTTTACCAAATCTGGACATAAGCTGGCAAACGACCCAAGAACTGAAAAATAGACGTTCCAGTAAGGTAAACATGGCTGGTCTCCGTGGGAGAACCCTCATAATTAGCACAATCTTACATTAAAAATTAGAAGCCCTAAAATTAAAGACCATGAGACTGAACAAATTTAAGTAATAAAATAATAATGAAAAAGAGAATCAGAGAGTAGATGTGGAGCAGGCATTCGTGCGCTGAAGAGGAGATTGAAAAGTAATATTTTATTTTTCTGCCTCAGCCACATGGACACAGCGACCAATACG